TTCATTAAAAAAATTCTCTTTTTATTATATATACATCATAGAAAATATCACATTTTAATTGGTCCATCCAACCGAATCAGTGGTGCGATGTACTGTAAATATTTCACAAAAGTTGTTACATCTCTCTCTCTCGTTGTCTTTTTTGTTATATTTAATTTTTGGAAGAAAAAAAACTAAATTTTGTATCAAAATTAAATTTTGCTCTGCTCATGACATTGGCTGGATATTTAATCAAAATAGACAAGAAATTATGAATTTCGTTTTTTTTCTCCTTCTTTAGTACGTAAATTTGCTGTTATTTACGAAACCACCATCTTCTTTGGAAGAAATTTTTTTGAGTTTTTTGGTAATATGACAAATATAAATTAAATTGTTTTTTATTATTTAAATAGAAAAATTTATGTTTATAATAAGAAAAGAGACAGGATATTCTTACACCAGTATAAGAGTTAAAAAGTTTACACTCAATCTTGACCATTGATCTCTCTTATATCTAATGGCTCTAATTTTTTAGTAATATGAGTCATTAGATACAAGTGGATCAATGATCAAGATTGAGAGTGTAACTTACACTGATATAAAATGATCTTAACCCATATTAAACTAAAATTGTATTACAAATTTAAAATGGTGCTTTCCTATATTTTCCATATAAATATAATAAAAAAGAATGTAACATAAATTTGAACAATTTAATAAATAAATTATATATATTTAAGTAAATGATTAAACTGGGTGCATCGTATAATTTAGGAACTAAGTATTACTTTTTTTTTTTTTTTTTTGATAACAACCAAGTATTACTTTAGTCTATGTAATATTGATGATTGAATACGCTTTTAAAATAATAAATGTAGGCAAAATGAATTATTTAATATATTTAAAAAAATATATTATTAATGCAAATTTAAAACTATTTTTTAAAATAATATAACTAGTTGAATACAATAAGATATAATAATTATTCTTATTGTGTTAATTATTATTTAACTGATTAAATTTGATATTGTTTTTCAAAATAATATAATAGGCCTTCAATAGATAATAATTAACAGGATCAATAATTTTCAGAATCCTTATAATTTATTTTTAAAAAAATATTAAATTTTTTATCATCAACTAATTACTTTTTTTCCATCATCAATATTTCAATTCTTTATCTTAAAATGGAAAAAAGAATTAACAATTCGTGATCGATGATATTAAATTTAATGTTTTTAAAGTTAAAAGAATTTAAAACATATTTGTCAGAAAATTATTTATTATGTTAATTATTATTTGATTAAATAAATTTAATATTATTTTTTTAAAAATACCAATTATATTTTGTGATATTAATTAGTATTTATAATATTAATTAAAATTTATATAATATAAAAAAAATGCGTGTGACAATCAAATTTGAAACCTAAAACGTGGATTGTATAATGGGATTAATATTTTCCATGTTTTTTATTGTATAATGATATGTGGATTCATATTTTTCTTTTCTATCTCTTCTCTTCACATGACCCTCACATACTTTTTTTTATGTATATGTAAGAGATAATTTTATCTCCTACAATATGATAAACACTAATCTTAGATTACATGGCACTATCCCAATTATTTGCCAAGGGAGTTTGTGCCGATACGAACCTCAGAAGAACCTCACCCCGAAAGCCTTGATAATTAATGAACCACATAAATACTCGAAAAAGCTTCTATTTGAGAAGGAAAGAGTGTGGGAATCTTTTCCTTAAGAGGGAAAGAATGTGGGCATGAGACTCATACTAAAGGGGAAAATGTTGAGGAATTCAAGTGTGAGTGGCTAGAGTCCCACATTAGTTAAAAATGAATTTAGTGAGCATCATATAAGTAGAAGGACTCATGTACTTAATGCCTTAAGATTTTGGGTTTGATTGTCGTGTTTCAAGCCTTCTTAATATTATTGTTCCCTTGGTCCATGGTTAACGTCTTCCCAAGTCATGAGTTCTTGCTGCTTGCTAGAATTGCCTCCCACTTTTTGCCACATTTTCCAAAATAAAGGCTCTATTTGATTTCTATTTCGTAAAACAGTTTTCTTGTTTTAAGAATAGAAAAACAAAAAAGCTTGTTTGTTGATCCAGAGGCGAACCTACACTTGTGCAAATGTGGGCAAGTGCAGACACAAGTTTGTTTGATTTTTGGAAGATAATGACTATACTTCAAGGTATAGCCTTTGGAATTCTTGAGTTGCATAATTAAAAAAACAGATAATCTAGCAGTAAGCAAATAATTGGAATCATGATGTAACTTGTATATATAGACAACATTAATTGTAAGCGATCTATTAGCAAAGAATGTCCATACTTGCCTCCAAATCCTGCCTTTGGTATGTTGTACCTGCAATGGAGAATTCCTTTTTCTAAGGTATTGATCTGGGTTATACTTTGCCCTGTATATGTGACAAAATAGATACACTAAGTTGTAACTAAATTGGCTGGAAAAGGATAATCATACTTTCTTTTTAAAAAAAATTCCGGCGGCAAGTGTGCAGACATAAATATAATTTTCTGGATACGCCGCAGTGTTGATCAGTGTTTTGTAAATGAAATTCTAAAACGACATTTGATTTTTCGTTTTTAAAACCAAATTTACAAAACACCCTTATCATGTTTTGGTTTTGTGTTTAAGTTTTTTACATCCAAAACAACAAAAACTCGGAGAACAAAAGCCTCATTAATGGCATGACAGTAATAATCTGAAAATAAAAAAGTAAAAGTTAATATTGTGCCATCTCATATAAATCTTATTTTCAAGCTCCTTGCACGATATATTTTTTTGTTTTTTGGTCTTTGATGTGATTGATAATTTTTTCCTTTTTTTATTTTAAAACCACATTTTGGAAACAAATTTACCAAACAATTTTTTTTAACTTTTAAAACTATTTTCAAAATAATATTATCAAATGGATTTTTTTTTATTCTACAAAATAATTTTTAAAAATTACTTTACAAAACAGTTTTAAAAACAAAAAATTCAAAATACAATCAAACAAATCCTATATTGCACAATACGTGACCAGGGTCACATATTATCTAATATCATCTAAAGCTGTTAATTAAAGACCTATGAAGGTTCATTGCATGGATATTGCATATGTAATTTTATTTTGTACTAACTTAATTTCACTATAAAATGAGTCGATAAGAATCTCTATAATCAGAGAGACTCTAATAGAATAAGAGATAGGTTATTTTATGTACCATTTTTTCTGTTTACTTTTGTCTATCATCTTCCAATACTGTTATATCAGAATCTCAAGAAGAGAGAGAAAGATAAATGTTAGTTAAGATTCTGATCTAATGGTATTTTAAAGTGGTAGGCAAAAAGTAGGTAGAAAAAATAGTAGATAAAATAACCTATCCCATAAAATAATAAACAACCATACAGATACTCTAGTATAATAATAAACAATTATCTCACTTAAAATTTCAAACTATAAATAAAGGCCATTAATGATTTTCATATTGAGTAAATACTCTTTTTAGTCCTCAGCAAATTTCACGATGCCCACTTTAGCCCCTAGCAAATAAAAAGGTCCATCGTAGTCCCTACAAAATTAAAAATGAACCCATTTTAGTCCTTTTGAGGATTAACATGGGTCTTTTTTGAATTTGTGAGGGACCACTATTTTAACTAAATGAGTCTCTTTTGAATTTCTTAGGGACCACGATATGCCTTTTTTTTTGCTAGGGACTAAAGCAAGCATCGCAAAATTTGCTGAGGACCAAAAAAATTTACTCTTTCATATTTATCTCACAAAATGCAACTCCCCATACTTAGTCAGTATGGTTTTTCTTTGTAGGCACATATGCCCTCATGCGATGCCCAGGCACATACGCCCTCATGCGATGCCATAGTCTTAGAGTTCTACAATGGCTGCCACTTCTCTCGTGCCTTTGGGCTCTTCTGGCTGAGGAATAGATAGAGTGTCAACAAGATCCCATGTGATAGTGTCCCAAAGCTTGACTCATGCACTACATCCGCCAGCAACCGCAGAATGACACCCTGAATGTAAAGAACTTTAGTCAGTAAATTTGTATGAGTTTTATACTTCCAAATTTTCCTACACACTCTTCGATTTTCATTATAAATTTCACATATGACTTTTTTTAATAGATGAGTCTCACATCATTTTTGCTTTTATGATATAAAAAAAACTCATATCATGTAATATGAAAAAGTATAAAATCCAATTTTCATTTTAGTCAGTAGAATTTGAGTGAAAGTACTAGAGAGTGTGTCAGTGCCTGGGCTTTTTCCGCTTTCTACGGGTTTTGAATTATGGTTGACTCTTTTGGGGTCTTGGTCTCTTTTTTTGTTGAGACAGTGTTGGGCCAATTAGTAGCTGTTGTGGACACTTCAATTCAACCAGCTGAGTTGTACCTAAAATTTTAAAAATTCAACTAACGATATGTTCCATTGACACTGCGCCATAAAACAAAAGTTTAAGGTATGGTCAATTTAAATAAGTTTTTCAATGGAAACAATTGTTTTTTATTTTTCAAATAATGAAAACATGTGGTCAGGGTTTTGTTTGCATGAATTCAGATTTCATACATCGGCATTCCATAAAGGAAAGCGACGATTCTGGGTGGATGCGGTTCTATTCAAGCCTTGAAAATTATAGCAATACTGGAAAAGGTCCTGAATTCTTTATGTATACATCACAAAGGAAAAGTCACTGTTCAAAATTTTAATAAAACAACTACTTGCAAAGTCTTCATATATGAATCCAGCTAGCTTAATATATCCAGTAGAAAATCACAAATTTAATCCAATTACTCCAAGACCAACGAGAATGAGAGAGATTGATAAAAAGGTTTTTAAAAAAAAAAAATATACAATCAGATGCGGGGTGAATATTATAGAAACATACAAACTGGCAAACCAGAAGTTCGTACTCCCAATAAATCTTATACTAGAGGCTCTAATAGGACATCAAAAAACAGAATTAGAGCCCTAGTTTTCTTCCTATACAAATCTGTTATGCATAAATTCTAATGCATCTTTAAGAACACAACAAAATGACATCAATCAATCATCAAAGTATGGGAAAACAAACCAAAATCGAAGACTCTGAATCATATTATTTTTCCTCACAAGGCTCTAATAACTGAATCAAAAAGCCAAAATTAGAGCCCAAATTTTTTCAGTGTTTTTACTAGTTGTAACCTCTCACATCACACAGGATGATGCAATGAGCCATTGCCTTTCTCCCTCAAGGAATTGAGCTTTTCCAGCATCCACTCTCCCCTGCGCCGAGCAATGAAATTTGCAGCCTTCACATTCACATCGGGGCTGGGACAGAAAACGGCCACACCCACTTTGCCGTTACCGTTACCGTTACCGTTACAATCCATAACGGTGTTGGTGGTTGTTGCCGTGGAGGTTGAAGTGGGGGTGGTGGTTTCTGACACATTAATGTCCTCCCGTTCTGGCGAGCCACACCGCGAGCTCTGGTTGCTACGTATATTAACAAAATCCCCACGAACTACGAACTTCATCGCCGCCATCTTGAACGGCGGAGGCGGCGGCGGAACCGGAATCATAGGCGACTGGTTGCCGGTGTTTATTGTCTCATCGTTAGAGTTGCCCGTTTTATTGGGCAGTGGCGGCTTCCCGGGGTTCCTCCGGCGAGGGGGTTCCGGCGGTGGAGGAGCTTGTGGCTGTGGGATCTGGCTCTGGCTCTTACGCTTTGACCATCTCCTTGATGATGTCAATGGAGGTGGAGGTGGCGGCGTGGGCGCCACTGAATGGATTTTCTTGTTCTTGCCGAGACCCTTTCTGAATAAACTGTGAAAGACCGATGGTGGCGGCGGTGGGGGTGGCGGCGGCGGTGGGCGTGGTGCTGTCGTGTTATTTGTTAATTCATCAACATTATCATAATCTTGATGGTGATCACGCTTTGTCCTCTGCTTCTTCTTTCTCTTTCTTTGCTTGGAGAGTACTGAAGCCCAAACCATTTCTATCTCCCTCTTCACGTTACTCTTCTTTCGCTCACTCTTTCCGTGCTTATGCTCCGATCGTATCTTCACCGACGGCGTTGGCGGAGGTGGCGTCGACGGAGGAGCCGGCGGCGGAGACTGAATCCTAGTGAACTCACGATCATCAAGCTCAGTTATCTCACTACCACTTTCCACTTTTTGATGAGTCTGTCTTGGTTCGCGACGAGCGGAATCCGGCGGCGGAGGAGGTGGCGGTGGTGGAGGAGGAGGAGGCGCAGGTGACTTCAGCGGCGGTTCCGGCGGCGAAGAACGGATTTCGAAGGTATCCACCGGAATTTCCTTAACACCAACTTCTTCTTGTTGTTGTTGTTCTTCTTCTTCAGCTGCAGGCCACTGTTTGCGGTGGTCCACGGCGTGAAAATGGTCCCTCGCCGGCGAGCGAAACTGCTTGTCGATTTCGTAGTCATCAAAGAAACGAAACTTGTAGCGGTCGTCGCCGGTATCCCAATGGCGCAGATCTGGATAAGAGCTACTGCTCCTTCTCAATCCGGTTGCCGGTGACTGCTTCCTCTCCTTGGAGAACCCGAACCACCCTTCCGCTCCTTCTTCCGACGATATTTTACGGTACGCAGCATTTTGATCCGGAACGGCGTCTTCGTCAGCGGCGCGCGGAGACGATTCGTCGTCGTTTCGTCTGGCGAAAACGCCGCACAGAATGGCCAAAACGACGAGGAGAATGTTGAGGGAGTCCCAGCTCTTCTTGACGGGGGTTGATCGGAGAACATTGGAGGCGGCGGAGAGAATCGGCGGCACCGAGAGGTAAAGGAGCGTTAAGGCGACAATAGGCAAGAGAATGATGAGAAGTGGAGGGCTGATCAACGGTGGTGATGAATGCCACGTGCGACGGTGAGGCATGGTTTGGTGGTCACGATAGAACCGGTGAGAGAGGTAGCGGGGGATTGTCCTCTCTGTGCTTTTGGATATTTGAGAGATACTATAATGCCATAAACATAACATGAAAATTCTTTTATTGGAATAACAGAATTTTGCAACTTGCAACCTCTTTTATTTATTTATACCAAAGATTATATTATATACTTCGAGTGCCAATTACTTCCTAAACTCCATATTTTAAGCTATTGTGTAAAATATTTATGATTATTTATTCATACTGTATATTGCATCATTTTGAGCAATTACTACTAGTTATTTAAACATATTTTCTAACATTGATTAGACCACTGTTCTGTAAATTAAACTACTAGCTTTATTCAGTGTTAGCAGCATCGGAATTAGGGGTGTAAATAGATTAGGTCGATCTACAGGAGCCTACGGCCTAATAAAACTTGAAAAAAAAAATTATCTCAGGGGTGTAAATTAAATTAGTAGCTTTATCAACAATTTAAGGATGATAAAAAAGCAAATAAAAACAATACTGAAGTACTTTGTGTCAAACTTTCTGAATACCTCTCCAAGTATTTGACCCACCCCTGGTTCTCCCAAGATCAGGCTTGAAGGAATCATTAATTTTATACTTGTTTTTCAATACTTTCACCCAAAGATTCTCCTTATTGGACAAGATGTCAAAGCCTAGTTTCATATAGAAGGCTTTGTTGACTACCCTCTGGTCCCTGAAACCTAACCCTCCCTCCTTCTTAGGTCTGCACACCTTTTTCCAGCTCACTAGGTGGACTTTCCTTTGGCTATGAGAAGAACCCCATATGAAATCCCTTGTCATCTTCTCCATTTCATTACAAACACTCACAGGCAACAATGTTGACTGCATGGAGTAAGCAGGAAGTGCTTCTAACACAGATTTATCAAGGACAGATCTTCCAGCCAGAGATAAAGAGTTCTGGTTCCATTTAGAAAGCCTTTCCTGCATTCTATCCAGAACATTTCTGAATGTGCATTTGGTGACTCTTTTATGCTGGATAGGGACCCCAAGATACTTGCCCAGATCTGTTGTTATCTTCATCCCCAAAGATTCACTAATTTCTTTGGCCTTATGATAGCATACATTCTTCGAGAAGAAGACCCTAGTTTTATCCTTGCTCACCTTCTGGTATGATGCATCAGCAAATATCCTCAGAACCTCGTTAATAGTATGAGCCTGCTCCAAGCTGGCCTCAGCACATAAAATGATATCATCTGCAAAAGGAAGGTTAGAAATAGATGGGGCCTTTTTCCTTAAGAAAATAGGTTTCCAGGCTTTTGAATCTACTGTCATCTGGATTAGTTGAGAAAACTTTTCCATGCAAAGTACAAAAAGTAGAGGGGATATAGGGTCCCCTTGCCTAATACCTCTTTGAGGACATATTCTCTTAGTGACCACCTCATTCCATAGAAGGCTCATGGATACAGAAGAAATACAATGATGAATTAATTGACAAAGAGAGTCAGGAAATCCAATATCAATTAGAGTTTCAAGGATAAAACTCCAATCCAGCCTATCATATGCCTTTTCTAAGTCAACCTTTATCAACATCCACCCTTTACCCCCCCCCCCCCTTCTTGGACCTCATAGAATGGATTATTTCCTGAACAATGATGATATTATCATTACCTTGCCTACCTCTAATGAAACTACACTGATTTGGGGAGACAATCTTAGGCAGCAGGTACTTCAGTTTACCAGTAATGATTTTAGAAATGATCTTATACACCACATTGCATAAGCTAATGGGCCTAAACTCCTTCATGTTTTCAGGACTTTCTTTTTTAGGAATTAAGCAGATTAGGGTACCATTGACACTCCTCACCTCCTCAGGATTAGCAAAAATGTTCTCAACTTGTTTGCAAACAGAATTCCCAACAGTCTCCCATTGACTTTGGAAGAAAATGACACTCAGTCCATCTGGACCAGGTGCTTTCAATTTCCCCATCGTAAAAATTGTCCTCCTTATCTCCTCCTTAGAAGGTAATCTGGCCAGGTCCCTCAACTCAGCATCTGTTAAAACAGGGAATTTATTCTGGATAGGAAAATTGCCCCCCTCACCCCATCAGCTTTGAAAAGCTTTTGATAAAATTCAGTGGCCATATTAACCAGCAATTCAGTATCAGACACCCGGTTTCCCTGATCATCTTTAAGAGCTACAATCCTGTTATGCCTTCTCCTAGCAACAGTTGAGGCATGGAAGAACTTGGAGTTTTTATCTCCATACTTTAGCCATTGATTCCTAGATCTTTGAAACCACATCAGCTCTTCTTGAACCAGGATAGCCTGCAGCTTCCTCCTTGAACACATCCTGGTCCCAAACTTTAGCTTCCTCCTTGTCTAATTTACCAAATCTATAGGAGTCCAGGCCATTCAACCAAGAGTATAATCTATTTTTCTTTTTAATTTCCTCCTTGAACACATCCTGGTCCCAAACTTTAGCTTCAGACTCAAACTGATTCCTAGCATCCAACCAGTTTACATCCCCTTCAAAGCTATTCCTGACTAGATCATTGAACCTACTATCTGTTAGCCAAGCTGCCATGAACTTGAAGCTCCTAGTATGCTCAATGGGAGCAGAGTGACCCCCATCACAAAGCAGAACAGGCCTGTGATCAGAATTATAATAAGGAAGGTGGGACACACATCTGTAATCCCAAGCTAAACTCCAAGCTTCATTGGCACACATTCTGTCAAGCCTTTCATGGAGTCTGCCCCTCTTCCATGTAAATTCAGGGCCTTTGTACCCTAGATCACTAATTTCACAGTCAATTAGACATTGATTAAATTCTTCCATACTTTTATAGCAAAGATCCTTCCCCCTATCTTCTCAAAAGCCTTGAGAATAACATTGAAGTCCCCCAAAACCATCCAAGGACCAGCTACCCCAGAACTGATAGTCTCCAAGTCAGCCCATAAGGATCTTCTCTCCAACCTCCTAGGACTACCATAAACAAAGATGACAAACTCAGAAACCAAGGACTCCAAATAGGACACCCTGGTGTGAATAAACTGATGTTGATTATCTAACACCTGCACATCCACCATGCTACCTTCCCAAAGCAACCAAATCTCACCCGAAAACCCAACAGGATCCTGTCTATAATAATTAGGAAAACCCAGCTTCCTAATAATTTCCTCTCCCCTAGCACCACCAATTTTAACTTCAAACAAAGCCAAAATGCTAACTTTATATCTAAATTTTAGATCTTTAATGAGAATTGGGAAGCTACTCTTACCCACTCCCCTACAATTCCAAACTAAAACAGACATGAATGGTAAATTTAATAAAAAAACCAAACTGTACAGAGGAAAACCCCAAGGTCACCTACTTACCTGGTGGGCTGACAGCCCATCCACCAACTTGGAAGGACTGACTCCATCCTTTAGTCTAACAGGACTGGCATTATTAGCCAGCACAGAATAGAGCACTCCACTAGCTTCTTTTCTAGAACTGGTATTCACCATGCCCCCACCAGAAGGATTAGTGTCAGAATTTCTGGACTTATTCCTGACTAGCCCTTTGATTGGTCCATCTGTAGCAGCATAAGGAGGTACATTCTCCACTCCATACTTCTTCTGAGACTTAATACCAGTCTTGGATCTGTCCTTCCCCTCCTTCAACAAGGATTTCTTCACTCCAACTTCAGTAGCTCTGCCACTTTTCTGAGGGCTTTGAGAAGCCACTACAACATTGGTATCAGCCACCAGAGAGACCCCACCAACCACAGAACTGGTCACACAGCCCACCTCTTCAAGGTCTTTCCTGTTGTCATTACTGGTATCCATGCCACTCATCTCTCCATCCAGATTAATCTTGGTAACCATCCCACTAGGACTAGTACCCCCTGGATCAGAGTTAAGCTTTGGCTCCACCATGGCCCCTTTAACAGGGCTGAGGGGTTTAGCCTTTAGTTTCCTGCTCTTGGGTTGCCTTTGGATCACCATCCAATTTCCAAAAGCTTCCTCCTCTTTGACTATATTTGGATCTGAAATAACATCCTCAGTTACTTCCTTACCCTGAACTACAGTTTCCATTCCATGCTGAGTACAATGGACTTGGTCAATAAGACATTGGGTTTTTCTGTGGCCGTATACCCCACACTTGAAACAAATTAGGTGGAGCCCTTCGTATCCCACCTGATACACCTTGTTCCCTATCCAGAATTTAGGCAAGAAAGTCTTCCTCAAGTCTACCTCAACACAGATTCTGGCGAACCTGGCACGTTCAGTAATGACATCCTCACCAAACTCACTCTTCCTCAGGGAATTCCTGTCCACTTTCAAAGTGCGACCAAAGATGTTACCAATTCGCCATAAATGACGAATGGTATACAGTTCAATGGGTAGACCTGGGATTCTCACCCAAACTGCCCGTTTTTTGACACTGTCGTCATAAGGATCGAACAAGGGCCTCCATCTTTGGACTACCACATAGTGGTCATTTACAATCCAAGGCCCTTCTTCGAGTACATGACGGTAATCACCATCCTCCTGGAATCTTAGTAACAAAAATCCATTATCCAAATCTATAGCTTTATAGGAACTCACCAGATTCCAGATCCTCTGAAGTCTGGACAACAAGAACTTGAAACCAATTCGCTTGCCCAACATCTTGATGATCAGAGCCTTTTTCCACTTCTCACAATCTTGCTTGTGCTCCTCTGTAGGGCAAAGAGGATCCTCCTCCTCAATCTGACCCAAGCCTTCCAAACGATCAACTTCCTCATCCTCGCGTTTCTGTTGCAAGATCCAGTTGTCGTCTACAGTATCCGACTGACCACCATTACCATTTAGCTTCATAAGCTTGTCCTTATAGGACACCACTCTTGCCCGAGTTCCACCGCTTCCCTCCGTCATCTTCACGTCTTGTATCAGATGAACAAGATTACGACCTCCTGAATCAGCCGCATCATCCTCATTCATCTCCTCGTCCATCGTCAGATCCTCTGTAACTTCCCCTTTTGGTTTCTTCCCAGTCGGAGAGGGGTTCTCCTCCTCCGTCAAAACCCTACCTCTACCATTCTTAGATCCATCACCTTCTTCTCGCGATTGCTGGTTAGCACCTTCGGTATCCATGATTCGAAACAGAAAGCTTAGAGAAAAAACCCTAGCAGACAGAAAATAAATCGCGCGCGTGAGGCTACACGTTCACATATTTTTTTTCAAATGGACTCTTTATCTATTGGCTACAAGCAACCATTTACAGGACTATATATATATATATATATATATATATATATATATATATATATACGAGAAAAATATTTCTGAAGTATCTTAAGATATATTTATCTATGTCCATCCAATAACCACATCATTTTATTTATTTATTTCCTTATATTAATTGATTCACTTTTGAATGGTTATGATTCTCTTTTTCTCTCTCTTCCTCTATCACCATTGATCCATGATCCATATTTGTACGGTTATAATTTAGTAGCCGAAAATAAAATTATCTAAAGCAACTTGAGAAACGATAAACCTTATATATATAACCTATGTCGTTTTGGAAACCTCACATGAAGAATTTTTTTTCCTGCAATCACATTTGAAGGGAGTTTACTGGTTTTCTTTTTCTTTCTTGCTTCTAGTTTCTCTCTCTTTTATGCTTGTGTCTGCAGGACAATTTATTTTGTTCTTGAAACATGATAGTTTTTTTTTTTTGGAAACTTGACATGATAGTTATATAACCCTTATATAATAGGGAAAAACTACTCTCCAGCTATAGGAGAGTAGTGTGTTTTCCTACAGAGACATGGATTTTTTTATTTATTTTTTTATTTATTTTTTTTATAATTATGTGAGTTCCACTATTTGATTGTGAGAGTGATAGGAGATATATTATCTTCTATTGATATAGATTAGTAAATCCCTATAATATATATATATATATATATATATAATCATCTCTTGTTGCTGGAGATGTATTATCTCATGTGATAGAGATAATCTTGTGAGCCAACTCTGTTTTTATATATAAAAAAAGATAAAAGATTTCTCCGGTCAATGGAGATAAGTTATCTCCAGTGAGCACAAAACGACATTATTTTGTGACGGAAATCAAGGTATTTTGTAATTTTAATTTATTACAGGGGTTATATTAGTCTTTATCATTATAATTTTTTAATCTTACAACCTAAAACGACGCTATTTTGAGCTTATTGGAAATAATTTTATCTCCGGTGATTAGAAAAATACTTTTTCCTAAAAAAATAACCAGGCACAATTTTTGAAGTATGTGCAAGAAAGGAGAAAGATATCATGCAACATGAGAATATGCAATCCCGATATAGATATATATAAATATATATATATATATATATTAAGGTTTTATTGTTTTTCCTGTCAGAGGAGATAAAATTATCTTCTGTAACCCTAAAATTATGTCGTTTTGAGGGTTAGAGAAATTAATGAAGGGTGTTTTAGTAAAATACTTTAATATTTCTATTGTGAATTCAGATAACTATCTGCATTCACTCTCCAAACGACGTTATTTTGGGTTGAAAGATTAAAAAATTATAATGATAAAGACTATTATAACCTTGGAATAATTATAATTACAAAAATATTTTTATTTTTGCTCCAAAATAATGTCATTTTAAGCTCACTGCAAATAACTTATCTGCATTTATTGCAGAAAAAAATGAATCCTTAATAAAATATAATAAATAAATAAAATTATCAAAACACCTTTCATTAATTCCCCGAACTTTCAAAACGACGAGTTTTGATTTGGGGTTGCAAGAGATAACTTTATCTCTTATTATAGAAAAAAATATTTTTCCCATATATTAACAAATTCATTATATTTAAATTACATTTACCTTTACTTTTTTAAATATATAAAAAAAGGAAATATAATTTAAATGGGGTTTTAATCTCTGTTGTTACTTCACGGTTTTCTCTTCTCCTACTGACATAAAAAGATGGTGGGGCACATCATTTTTTAAAAAAATAAACAGAAAATGTTGATGAGTCCCTCACATGAGGGGAACACTTCTCCAGTAACAACAGAAGTGTTTTTCCCAATTTAAATATAATGCATTCGTTAATATATATAGAAAACATATTTTTATATTTAAAAAAAGGACAGGATATACTTACTACTGCAAAAGTTTATCACCCTTACAGTCAACCTAATTATCGTTGATTTCCATCAATCTAACAGTTACAATTTATTGGATTTATTAACAATTAATAATTAATTAATGAGAGCGACACAACAATTCCCAATAAATTATAACCGCTAGATTGGCGAAAATCAACTGTGATTAGGTTGGTTGCAAGAGTGATAAACCTTTGTGGTGGTAAATATATCCTTCCCTTTGAAAAAAAGTAAAAATAAATGTAATGGGTTTGTATCTCTGTTGTTACTTCACGGCTTTCTCTTCTCCTACTGACCCAAAAAGATGGTGGGGCACATCATTTAAAAAAAAAATAAACAGAAAATGTTGATGAGTCCGTCACATGAGGGGAACGCTTCTGCAGTAACAACAGAAGTGTTTTTCCCAATTTAAATATAATGCATTCGTTAATATATATAGAAAATATATTTATATATTTAAAAAAGGACAGAATATACTTACCACCGCAAAAGTTTATCACCCTTACAATCAAACTAATCATCGTTGATTTCTATCAATCTAACAGTTATAATTCATTGGGTTTATTAAAAATTAATAATTAATTAATGAGAGCGACACAACAGAAGTCTTGAGAAACAACAGAAGTCTTGTTCAATTATGATTATGATTTCCATCAACAACAGAAGTCTCTCTCTTCCTTCATTACCATTGATCCATCTTTTAGGTAGGATCCTTTGACATCGGTGTCAAATTTAAAATTTGACACCTCATCTGAGAGCCATTAGATCAAAAAAGATCAATGATGTCACATACTTACAAATCAGAGTCGTTGATCTTTTTTGATCTAATGGCTCTCAGAGGAGGTGTCAAATTTCAAATTTGACACTAGTGTCAAATGATCCTACCTATATATATATATATATATATATATATATATATATATATATATATACTTGTCAACTAGTATGGTATTAAGTCAACTACTATGGTATTAAGTTATACCCTGGCAACTACTATGGTATTAAGTGATAGCATATGTAATCAATCAACAAAACTGCGTATATAAGATGACAAAATGGAACCCTTTGCTTGTTGCGATCCCAATCCAATTTTCATGTCCATAATTATAGTATTGTTTAAGCACTTTACGTTATCTTCATCATCCAATTAAATCTAGACGCATTAAAAAATAATAAAGGAGAGTGGGTATAAATATTTGAGTATAGATAAATAAATAAACAGTTTTATTAATTTCATGTTAAAGGAGATAGTTATCTCATGTCATAGAAATAAACTAGTGGACTCCACCACCTGAAAAAAAAAAAAAAAAAAGATGACACAATTATCAAAGAATATGTAAAAAAAAAACTTATATCATGTGACATAAAAATAATTTTTTCCATAAATAAAAGCAAAAGCAACACCTATTTTGCAGCAATCTCTTATTTTGTCTCACAAGTAACTAGTCTTATCACACAAGCCGTCAATATATATATATATATATATATATATATATAAATTATTAATATTGATTTTGTTTTTAAGTAACTTGATAACTCATATAAAATTAAATAATTAAGATTAACTTTTTTATGTTTTTAATTTTTTTATACGCTCCGTCCAAGTCTTGTTCTCTATTGTTCATTTGTTTAATGTTATTTTTCCAACTGGGGGGTTACGAACTTTAGGGTGACGAGTCATACGGCAAACAAGTACTGGAAACTCGTAGTCTACACTTTCCGCTTACCCTAAATGATGGAGAGGCCACGTGGCTGCAATGATTGAAACTCACTTCCTTTACAACAAGGAACAAAAAAACTTGCTTTCGGGGGCTCTTTGTCAAAAGACCGAAACCCAAACTAAACCTTTTTTTTCAAATTTTTACTATTTTTTTTTTTTTGATAACAATTTTTACTATTTTAATTGTTGCATAAAGTGTTCTATATCCTCCCATGCACGGACACGCTTTTTTTTTTGAAATTTACGTGTCCGACACGGACACGCTCCGATACGCTCGGACACGCGGTCAACATTTGAGGATACGTGGTCAACTCTCCGACACGTTCCGACACGCGGTCAATATTTGAGGACACGCGATCAACATTTGGGGACACGCTCGGACATGTTTTTTTTATTTTTTTTATTTATTTTTTTATTTTTTTTATTTTTTTTTGTTTTTTTATTTTTTATAAATCTTAATTTTTTTTTAACTAAATATAAAAAAAATAATTCATAAATTAATTTTTTTCTGTTATAAAATTTGACATTAAAAATTAACAAACTACGAAAAATTATTTATATTTATATTTATGTAATACAATTTAAATATTTAATTGGTTATATGACTTATTATGGATTCTTATATGTATTAAATATAAATCATATTATATATATTAAAAATTTTATTTAATATCAAAACGTATCCCAACGTGTCCAAATATGACATTTTTTAGAATTAATGTGTCGGCGTGTCGTGTCGTATCCCGTGTCTGTGTCCGTGCATCATAGTCTATATCTACCAGACAAACCGATTCCATCCATTTTTTTTAGGTTCCACTCTATTCTATCTCTTTTTGGATCTAAAATATGATTAAAGCAAATAGTGAACTTTGTTCCGCTTTCCATCAATAGAGGATTATCACACTTTCTACACCCCGTTTTTATTTTTGTTCAAACATGTTAGCCCAAGGTAGAAACAGCAGTGAAAAAGTTGAAAATCCCACATTAAGACTTCAATACAAAAAATATTAAATTTTAATATATTATGATATGTTTTGATATTAAATAATATTTTTAGTTTATGTAGTGTATGTTATATTTAATATTCAATAATTTAACAAAAAAATGAAGCTAAACGTATAATACCTATTAATTATACAAAGAAACATAAGATATTACAAATATTTATATTAAACTTAATAAAGTAATAATCGTAATCCAACGAATATAATAGTTGGAACTAAAAACGTAACGCAACACAATATTTGAATTCTTTTTTGAGTCTCTGCAACGCGTGTTAAAATGTCGAGGAGTGTCAGAAAGTGTCGAACATGATGGTCAGGTCTTTTGAAGTGTCGGGGCATCATAGATATCCATCATAGTGATTAAAAATAATTAATCATATTTATTAATACTTCGAATATTGATTAATGTGATTAAAAATAATTGTTTGAATACAAGATCAAAAAGAAATATTTTTGGAGAAATTTTTATCTTCACCTTACCAAGTCAAAATTATAAAAAAAATATATAGATTTAAAAAAGCAAAGCAAGATTATTTTTTTCATCAAATGATGATAGATCAATTGGTGCATAAGAATTTAACAAATGAATATAAAAGCATATGTTCGATCCTCTCCAATATTATTTTTAAGAGGACTTCAAAGCCTTAATATTAAATTCGCTCCAAACATAATTGTCTTCCCTTGAGGATAAAAAAAGAAAAAAAGAAAACAGAGCAAGAATTTTTATTTATTTTTAATTAGTGGCTTGATAAAGTCGTTGTGCGTGACAAAGACTATTTCTGAAGTGGTTGCCAACTTGCCAGCACCAAACAAACAATGTTTTTTGGGCGAACCTAAAGTTTGAAGCACAATCTCTGTTATCCTATTCCTCCATCATACATATATATATATATATACTACTAGAGGACCCCAGCCTCATCATATGCAACCCCCGTATAGACGACACAACCACTTCATCTTCAAAAATATGAAGCCTTGTTTGCATCGTTTGATTGAGTACGTGGATAACACACCAAGTAAAGACGAGTGGAATTGATATTAGTTTTGTGCTTCAATGAAAGCATTCTAGGAGAGAGAGAGAGAGAGAGAGGTTGGAAAGGGAAAGCACAGCTACAGCGACAGGCAAATAACCCACAAAGTGACCCCTCACGTATCTGCCAGTCCAAGGCTCCAAGCCTATAACAGCTAGCTTCCATTGAACAGCTTGTTCTCTATCTCTAATTCAGATGAAAAAATTGGAATTGCACTCGCTTGGTCTTTTCATTATTCAAAAAAATTAAAAATAAATGATCAATGAATAAAGGAAGGCAAAAGTATTTATAAGTTATCGCGCGTTTCATTAATTGGTTTTCCAAATCATATTTACTTGCTCACACGCAAAAGGATTGTAAATTTCTCACCCCTCCTAAAATCTTAACGATAATAATAACAACACTTTAATAACTAGCTACATAAAGTAGCATTGAATGAATAATAACAGTACTTATTTGAATTTGAGGTATTGTAGCGGATGAATCCAAATTCTTTAGGCACTCAGCAGAAATTAAGAAGACAATGTAATGGATTTCCTTTCTGTTAATTTGTCCTTTTTCCATTAATATGGGTTTCTTGTTGAATTCTGCGTAGTAAAACAGATTAATTCAAGCACATATTTGCAATTGAGAACGAGTATGTGCGTTTGGAGGCCATAGATTGAAAATTGTAACAGTAATCTTCGATATTGCTTTGCGCAAGTATTAATATCTTGTAGACAACAATGTTTGTCGATCACCAAAGAGAAAAATATCAACACATATAGATTTGTTCTAACAGTCAAGTGTTCACCAACATGGAAATCTTCTGGTCTGAAAAAATTTAATAGTAAAAATCATGTAAGATTTACCGTGAGATTTATTTTGTATACACTTAATACATAAATTAACCAAATAAGACTATGATATATCATCCTTCTCTCAACTTGCGGTACAGCCTATACAGATATCTTGCCGTGATTTACTCCAACAATCTTAAAGCATTTTTTTCTTTTCTTCATATTTTGAAATCCTTATATACATTGTCCAATTGTAATTGTTTCTGATATCCATCTTAATCTTTCTCAATTTTCACCTCAGTACTGGAATTAGGATCAGAGGGACCGCAACAGAAGAATAGCTCCTATGATCAGCAATGCTACAGAGCATACTAACGCCTGCAAGATCACCATGGCATTCAGAAAATGAAGAACCAAAGTGAACTATGTTAGAGAAATATGATATAAAATATAATACCATTAACGTATCTTCACCTAATAGCTTAAGTTTTTACGTTAAACTTGTTTTTTATATGGTATTAGAGCCTTTGTGAAAGTGGTCACAAATTCGATCCCCACCGTCCCCATTCTATTAATAAATAATTAAATATTTTGAAGTTTCTTTGTATAGGTAGGTGAGACCGTGAATTATTCACTCTTGAAGTCTAATAGTCTCTCGTGTGAAGGGGGCTATAGAGAAATATGATATAAAATATAAGAACATTAATGACTACTAAAAAGTGAAGCATTCCATAATGACTACTAAGAGGGGTAATATAGCTGTTGAAGTTCAGAAAATGTATGCTTGACCTGTGGAAGCTTGACTTGTAAACTAGAGTTTCAAGATGTTTCTTTTAGCTTGATCCAAGTTGAACTAGCTAGCTACACTCGACTCCACTTCAAACCAGTGTTTAAAAACCCGGCCCGGCCATCGACCTGGCTGAGGTCAGGGGTCACGGGTTCAACCGGGGAGTCACGGGGTCACTACGCTGACCCGGTTTTATATATTAAAAAAATATAAATATATGTATCCTATATGAAAATATTAAAAAGCAAATCACCAATCATCAAAGATTCAAAATATCCTTAACATAATTCACCAATTATAACCACAAGTCAATATTACACAACATAATTATAGTATCAAGATACCAAAGTACAAAACTCATATTCTAATGATACCAAATTATCAAGATACCACAAGTCTAGGTCGTTTGGAGAGTAGAGAACGATTAGATTTAGGTTTGCAAGCATTTTTTTTATTTTTAATAAAACGACGTTGTTTCATGAAATTTTCTTTTAAAAAAAATGCAGTGACCCCCTTTGACCCCTTTGACCCGGGAGTCACTGAAACTCGGCCGGGTTTTGGGGGTCGGAGGAATCGATGTGCATATAGGGTCCAACTTGTGACCCCAACCCTCAAAGGGGAGGGGTCAGGGTTGACCCGGGTCAACCCGGGGGTGGGGTGGGGTGGGGTTTTAAAACACTGCTTAAAACAATCCTATTTGAGGGCTTATCTTATTCTACTGCATAATTTTGACATTTGCAAATGCATGCATGAGCACACACAGAAACAATCCATCACCACCACTACCATTCCCCATCAAACCTCGACTAACGAGAAGAGATGATGATAATTCTTGTATGCAATCTTATCCTTACATATTTACAAACAGACTGTTTCTCAAATTCGAACTCGTGATCTTTCAGTCACGAATGAGCAATATTGTCACACTCACACAGAAACAAATAGAAAAAAAAGGGCAGAGAGCAAGAGAGAGAGAGAGAGATGAAAGAGAAATGTTACAGCAATTGCAGAGGCTCCCAGGCCTGCTCGTTCCCTTGGATCCTTCCTATAGTAATTCCCAAAATAGAGAATTGTGGCATAGTACCACAGAGGTGGACATAGAAATCCAACAAGAAATCTGTAATTAAACAGACAAAACCATAAGACAAGAAGAAGAAAATGGCAAAGAGAGTAGATAAATTACTTACGAGAACCATCCAATTCCACATCCATAACATGGAAGGGGTTTGTCATAAAGTCCCATTTGGTAGTCCTCTGGATCTCTAATTAGGGTATACTTGCCCTTTTCATGGTCTGCACCATCTGTTGCTTGACCTGTCATGGCCACAAATATTTTCAATGCTTCAGAGCTAACATGTCCAAACAATTTCAGTGATGAATATAAAGAGACCCATTTGCTTGGCCAAAGATTATTAGCATCATATCACAATAAAGTAGAGTAAGTTCATTAACCCCAATAAGAGGAGAACCAGGTCCCAGGATCCAACTCAAAAAACAAAGCATTATATTATAAAGTGATTTGCCTAGTTAAATATAATAGAAGTACAAATAGTTCCACTGAAAAAACAATGTAGAATGATGAATTTTGACTTCAATTATACAATATAAACAGTTCTTTATGATGGAATACTTGAAAAGGAAAATGGTGCATGCGACTCAATGAGAAAAATAAGTGCCAAGTGTGTTAGACATTGAACAATCACATGTACTTAAATATAGTCTAGAGGACAATATATCCCTTGATGCATCCCCTCCAAAAGAAAGGATGACCTAAATACTTTGAAGTCTCGCTTTCCACTTTAAATAAGGTATGAAAGCAAATACTAGATGAAAATTTGGAAACAAAGTAAAACCATTAGAAACTAATTTCTGCCTTTCAGGTATATTGATATATCATCAATTTCATAGATAGTCATTACCTCTAAAAATTGAATAACTTCGAGCAGATGGTCTCAGAAGGTCAAGATGCTTATCAACGACAGATGTTGCCAATTCCACACCATTTCTCAAATTAATAGTTTCTTCCATACCAGCATCTGTAACATAGAACAAAATCACATTTCATTGAAGTAAGTACATTGAGTTGCATTGTTTCTTCTTGAGTTCCAAATGCCCTATACATGTCATGAATGCAGTTATATTATCATAGTTAAAAGTCAAGGAGCATATGAACCTGCCAAGTAAAGGCAACAAAGCTTGTTTCCATGAAAAACCATGCTTTCCATACTAATCATGAAACTTTCACACTTTTGTTTATAACTTGTCCACAATAATAGTAATAATTTATTCTAACTGCAGCATTAGAACCTTATAACCTAATTTCTCAAATTATCCAAACAATACATGTAAGGCCTTAAAAAATTAAGACCGGATATTGATCAAATGATTCAAATCTCAAATTTCTCCAGCATAGCACTCTGGTGCCAATATCTTATCTAAATGATATTTTTCGAATAAAATCTCATGCTAGCTTATATGAGAAGGATCAATACTGAATCAGAATAGTCAATACATAACACAACATTCTGCATATTGGAAAGATGAGATAGAAAATCAAGTACCATTAACCTGTTTTCTCATTATAATCTAATAAACTTATGCAATAGTATTTAGAGGAATCACTTGCTTAATAATATTAATAAGAAAATGTTTTTACTTATGAGTACCTTTATCCATGGATTGTGGAGGTAGTTTACAGATTCAGGCCTTCAGCAATTCAAAACAACACTCAAAAACCCTGCTTCAAAAATTTAAAACACTTCAGATAAAATCATGATTTGTGAGACCAGCATGTTTCCCCTTAGAAGCAGATAAAAGAGAAGAATACATAGCATTTGCAATTATTGTACTTGTCCTTCAGACCGCATCAGGATTGCAGTATGTTACAAAGAACCTTAGAAACTTTGTTCATGACTCCCCGCAGAGGCAAGAGGCTTTGAATAGTAAGGTTTAATATTTATGACTCATGAGACCAAAACCATTTGAATAGACAAAACAATTACTCATCTCAAACCCCAACCATGAGAATTAAGAAACTTATTATACATTGCACGGCAATGGTTGTCCAAACCAGAACCAAATTGGAAAACTTTTGTATAAAGCTAACCAGAACAAACCCCAATACAGAATTTCAGCTAACACAAATCCCAGTGAAATTCTCTTTCATGACAAAACATGTAGGAATATAACAAAATTAAGAAAAAAAAAGTTCAAAAGAACCAAAATTTCTAAATCTTAGCAAATCTTGAAAAACAATAAAAAAATTTAAGACGGCAAAGATACATAAAAAAAAAAAAAGGAAACTTTTAGGCATCAGAAGGAATTCCCAGAAGGCAAAATGAAAATACCCATTAACGAAGAGCAAACATAGAATTGAACAAACATAAACAAAAACAAAAACAAAGAAAATCAAAGAAACACTTGCCTTGGAAGAGCAACAAGAGGTTCCACTGATCAGAAGAAACAAAGGAACAGAAAATAATCAAAAAAAGGGAACTGCTTTGTATTGGATAGGTGTTCAAACAGGATATGCAATTGCTGCTACCTTTCAATTTTATTTTATTTTATTTTTTTCTTCTATTTTAGGCGCAGGACAATCGTCTCACTCTACATATAACAACTTCAAACTGACGACTGAAGAGAACTATATACCAAAAAAAAAGGCTGAAGAGAACTATTTAGATTTTTGAAAAAGATTAATTACAATAAATAATTATTTTTTCTTTAAATTCTCTTACAAAGGCGAAAATTAGGGGATGTATTAGATTGAGATTTCAAAGGATTTTAATGGATTGTTTTTGGACAAAAAAATCCATTGGTATTCGAATAGGATTTTAATGGATTGCAAAAGAGTCACGTTGTATTTGATTAAGATTTTAAAGGATTATTTTAAAATCCGTCCAAATCCGTTGATATTCAATCAGGATTTTAAAAAATAGAATCACAATCGTTATTCAAAAATACGACAATTTTAATAGCTTTTCTATTTGTGTGGATTTTGTGAAACTTTTTTAGTGATAAATATAAATAGGATGTCTCTCTCACAATCTTACCATAACCCCTAAGATTTCTTGAGATTCTTCTATTGCAATATTTTCTTCTTCCTTTGGCGGGTTGACGGCTCGAAATTGGGTTCCGCGGTTCCGCCATGGGAGCTTCATCAAAACAAAAAAGAGAGTATATTTTTGAACGATTTTCATCACAAAACAATCCAGAAACAACAAACCAACGAGATTTTAATATAATCTATCTAAAAATAACATATTTTTGAGTCATTTTTGAGAAATTTTGGAAGTTTAAAAAGTGATTTTTCAAGCTGAGTCGCGGTTTTTCTTAGCACAAAAACGTGTGATTTTTGTATTAAAAACAACATAAAACAATGAAAAAATAACAGGGGAATTAAAACCTTCAAACCAATTTTCGTTTTACTTCAATGAAACAATATCAATTTAAAAAAAGATTGAAAATTTTATAATATGAACACTATATTTCGTAACAATACATTCATGAACGAAATTCCTTCACTATAGGAAACGATTTCAAACAATTTTTGTGTCAATAGATAACTAAAAGTTTGTTTCTCAAAAGCCCCAAAGAAATTTAAGGTTTCAATGTATCGATTGAAAAAGATTTGAATTTTTTTCTAAATTTTCATATAATTAACCCCAAAATTTCAGATTCGAAATTTTCTTAGAATATTCAATGAAAATATATATATGATATATGGTTAGAAAACTCTCATCACGTAAAATAAAAACCCCAAGATTTTCAATATCAATTGCAAACGAAATTTTATCATGAACTTTAGGTTCTATATGCAAATTTAGAATTATTTTTATAATTAAAAAAAAATTGGGTCTTATAATCATATAGGCATAGCTTTGATACCAAATGAAGAAGTAATTTTCAACCCATTAGATATGTGAAAAGCTATTATTTATTAATTTTGAATGTTTGTTAAAAATTATATTATATTTTACTGATTGAGAAAATTATATTAGGTTTTACTTTTTTTATTAATTTCATTGCATTTCTTTGTTATTTTTTTGTATGGGGAAGATTATACTTACAATCTATTTTTGTTTACAACCATATCTTAACCGTTGATTTTCGTCAATCAACGGTATTATTTTCTCAAATCAAACTCATTAATTAATATTTAATTTGCAATGAATGATAACCATTGATTGACGAAAATCAACGGTTAAGATATGATTGTAAAATGTTGTAAACAAAAGATAGGTCGTAAGTATAACCTTTCCCTTTTTTATTGACTCTTGTAATTTTGAATCTTTGTTAAAAATTCATATGATTTTTTAAAATCTTATAAATCCATATTGTCTTTTCAAATCTTATAAATTCTATTAAAATCCTTTAAAATTCAATCTTATGAGATCTTGATTGTAAAAAAAGTCTTTAAAGTCTCTTCAATTCTAAATAGTCTTTTAAAATCTATAAGATTTTTTAGCTCAAAAAAGTCTTTTAAAATCCTAATCCAATACACCCCTTAAAGTTTTCAAATAAAAATTAACTATTTAAAAAACCTATCGTATCTTTTACTTGTCTTCTGAAGTTTCTTAATTTATTGTAGAGAAAATTGTGTATCATTCTAAAACATATAAAGTTATGTCATTTTAAGTGAGAAAAGAGATAAATCATAAGAGAATAGAGGGAATTTTTTTTAAAGATGTGGGTCTCACTTCTTTATGAGAGTGATATGATGTAAGGTGTGTCATTTAAAACGACACACCTTTTTCCCTTTATTGTATGTAGTGAAATAATAAGTTACAAAATTTCAATAATGTCTTGCTTTTCTTTTTTCGATAGATTGTCTTTAATTTCTGTAATTATTTAAAAGATAAAATTATTGTTTTTTACGCAGCCTCTTGCCTTGGCTGCTTCCGCATTTTTTTGTACAAAATTCTAAAATCTAAACCTTAATGTTGCCCAAAAATATCACGGAAACTAATTTGTAATTATTAAGCCCTCGGTTTGACCCTCGAATTTTCTTCACAACAGTGTCTTTTGATTGGTCAGCAATGGCTAAATGCGTCCTTTTTTTTCCTATGAATATTTTAATATTGTAGTAAATAGTAGTAATTATGATAAAAATATGGTCAATTGTCATTGCATTTGCATATGGTGAAAAGAAATTTTGGGACTCTGATCAAAACAAAAATGCTTCTTTTCAGCAACACTTTTAGTAAACACATTATCAATATCTTTTTCCCAAAATAATTCGGATTGATGGTAGATGAATTTAAATAAAAGATACGAAAAGATTAAAAGAAGATAAAAATTAAATTTGGAGTAAACACCTTTTTTGGTTCCTGACAATATCTACGAAATCCTTTTTAGTTCCTGGCAATAAAAAAAGAACCAAATTGGTCCCTAAAATTATAAAAAAAGGGTCACATTAGTCCTTATGTCAACTTTTCCGTCACTAACGTGGCCCTTTTTTCATACTGTTAGGGACCAATTTGGTCCTTTTTTATTTTCAGGGACTAAAAAGGATTTCGTAGATATTGCCAGGGACCAAAAATGGTGTTTACTCTTAAATTTAAGTATATATATATATGGAAAAATATTTGTCTTTTTAAAAAATAATAGTTTTTTCATTTTAAGAGAGAGAAAGACATAACCTAATATTTTTTATTTAAAATTTAAATTTAAAAAAAAAAGACTCATTTTCTCCCCCCATAATTTCCATTGCTTGTGTCTTTCTCTTACTTAAAATAATATAAATCTATGTCATTTAAAAGGACAAATTCTAAATCATATATAAGTAAAAATAAACTGGGTGTGGAAAAAATAAATAAATAAGTAAGAAGAAAAAAATGGGGAAGGAAAATAGAGATAAAGGAAAAGAAGGGAAAAATAAGGAGAGGGGGAGATAAAGAGGAAAAGGACTAAAAAGGGATCATCTGAAACATAGGGATAACAACGGATCTAACTGTCCATCATTCTTATAGCTTTTCTCCAGTCCATCCTAAGACACACCGTCCGCCAATCTATATCTTACTCTATCAAGTCTTGTTTTACTACTTTTCTCCAAGTAAGTTTTGGACTGCCTCTATCTCTCTTTGTGTTGATCTCTTAGTAACAAACTTTTATTCTTATGGGAGCATCCATGAGCCTTCTCATTATGTGCACAAACCACTTCAATCTATGTTATCTCATCTTTTCAGCCATCAATATTACTCCTATCTTTTGTCGAATATCTTCATTTCTTATCTTATCCATCCTCGTATAACCACACATCTACCTTAACATCCACATTTCTACTACCCTCATTTTACGCTTATGTTGCCTATGCGTTGGCCACATTTAGCTCCATATAACACTGTATGCCTTACTGTTATTTTATAAAAATTCCCTTTTAGCTTAAGGGGAATTTTGCGGTCACACAAAAACCCATATGCACTACACCATTTAATCCACCCTGCTCTGATTCTATGATTTACATTCTCATCAATCTCTCCATCTTTTTGCAAAATTGATCCTAGGTATCTAAAAGCATCTTTCTTGAGTACATCTTTGTTGGTATTTGGGTGTCCTAGAGACAATCTTATGATTAAATAAGGACATAGATGTAGAACTTTTTAATATTGTCGAAAATAAATAAAAGCACTCTTTATCTTGTTTCATAATTCTGTCTCGATATTAATGTTAATATATTATGAATAACTTGATAAATCCCGTGGAATAAAATAGGTATCTCTTGAGTATCTGTGATGAGATCACAATCATGAGGATTCAAGAATACCGGATGTTTATTCCTAATTTTATGTTCCTAGTCTAGAGATACTGAGAATGGGGTCAGTGATCAGTGATCTCGGGTAAGACTAGCACGACTTATCTACTTGTATATGGATACAAGGTATAGACCTCATGTGCTACAGATATGGAGATGTCTTAGCTAAAGTCGTGGGTGGACCTATAAGGGTATAGCTCGCACTGAACAGACCCACAAAGAGACTCTATGAGGAACTCTCACAGAGAGTATCATTAGAGTAGTCTCTTTATAATTGGGTATGTCTTTCCTAAGACCAGAAGTTATTACCTAGACTGTGTTCTAGAAGGCATGCTTTGATTGTGCACCTCGTCTGCCTGAAACATGGAGACTCATAGGTATACTGTTGGGCTTGTCCTGAAAGAACACAGGGCTAGGGTGATAAGCTGAAGGAATTCGTCAAATCTATGTGAGAGATTAGGTTATCTGTAAATCGGGATGACATTTACAGGGACTCGGGAATCTATGCATAGTAAAAGAGATCATGAGATGACCTGCCTTTAGAGTCTGTAAATTGAAGATTCCCTATTTCGAATAAAGCTTACCCTAAACCGCAGGGGTTGATACGCTTTCTTACCCTAGGTTTTATGGGAAGGTAACCGAGACGAAAGGAAATATATACGGCAACCAAATATGTGTAATAGGATGATCAAGTCACTAATCTAACTAGTTCTGGGGCAAAAAAGCATTGCTAGTGCTCTGTGTTGTCATTAGATGGGTTGTGGGCTTATTGGGCCCAAGTCCATTTATGTCAGTGGCTATGTTGGACCTAATGGGTCACACACTAACACCTAATTGTCTAGATGCTCT